CTGCCTTTCCACCCCCCCACCCCACAGTGACTCTCAGACCTTGGTGTTCTAAGAGGGAGACAAGGGATAGGAGGGCCTGAGCAGAATACAGACTGGATACTGGCTCAGCTTCAGGTGATAACAGGATCTCTTGGACTATTGTGTGGAAATTAAGCCGCAAGGGGCAACATGGAGTTCTGGTGATTGATTTTTTTTTCCTGATTTTTATTTTTGGTTTTGCAGTATTCCCTCCCCTCTGCTCCCACCCCTGGGAGCCAACAAAGAGTTTCCTTCCATATATAAAGCTTTCCTTGACTTTTTACAATAATGAACTAATACACTATTTGTCCCTCTGTGACTGATTTATTTCACCCAGCATAATGTCCTCCAAGTTCATCCATGTTATGTGGTGTTTTGCAGATTCTACATTATTCTTTAGTGTTACATAGTATTCCACTGTGTATATGTACCATAGTTTGTTTATCCATTCTTCTGTTGATGGATACCTAGGTTGTTTCCATCTTTTGGCTATTGTAAATAACGCTGTGATGAACGTGGGTGTGCATATATCTGTTCTTGTCCTGGCTGTCACTTCTTTAGGATGTATACCTAGGAATGGGATTGCTGGATCAAATGGTATTTCTGATTCCAACTTTTTAAGGAATTGCCATACTGCTTTCCACAGTGGTTATATCATTTGACAGTCCCACTAGCCAGTGTATGAGAGTCCCAATCTCTCCACATCCTCTCCAGCATTTGTTTTTTGTCTTGTTGAACTTTGCTATTAGTACTGGGGCAAGATGGTATCTCATTGTTGTTTTGATTTGCATCTCTCTAGTGGCTAAGGCACTTGACTGCTAACCAGAAGGCTTGTGGTTCAAACCCACCAGCCACTCCTCAGAAGGAAGATTGGGCAGTCTACTTCCATAGTGATAATTTTTTTGATTGGCCATTTTTTTAATTGGCCTTGGCAACCCAACGAGGAGTCGCTATGAGTCGGGTCCGACTCAGAGGCACATAACAACAACAGTGGCTAATGAGGAGCTCTGGTAGCTTAGTGCCTAAGGCACTTGACTGCTAACCAGAAGGCTGGTGGTTCAAACCCACCAGCCACTCCTCGGAAGGAAGATAGGGCAGTCTACTTCCATAGTGATACCCTTGGAAACCCAAGGAGGGGTTGCTGTGAGTCAGGTATGACTCGATGGCACATAACAACACCAACAACACAATGGCTAATGAGTGTTTATTGGCCGCCTGGATAACCTCTTTGGTGAAGTGTCTATTCATGTCTTCTGCCCATTTTTTTAATTGGATTGTTTGTCTTTTTGTTGTTGAGGTGTTGGAGTTTTCTATTTAAATTTTAGAGATAATTCCCTTGTCAGATATGTTGTTGCCAAATATTTTTTCCCAATCTGTAGGTTCTCTTCTTACTCTTTTGGAGAAAAACTTAATTTTTAAAAGGTCCCATTCATCTAGTTTCTCTTCAGCTATTTGTGCACTTTGGGTTATGCTTGACAGTCTACTTATGCCATAAATAAGGGCCCCTAAATTTGCCTCTAGTTTTTCCTTAAGGAAGTTTATAGTTTTAGGTTTCACATTTAAGTCTTTGATCCATCTGGAGTTACTTTTTGTGTATGGTGTGAGGTACAGATCTTGTTTCATTTTTCTGCAAATAGACATCCAGTTTTGCCAGCACTGTTAAAGAGACCATGTCTTCCCCATGTGATAAATTTCAGCCCTTTGTCAACAATCAGCTGACCATAGGTCAGTGGATCTATTTCTGGGTTCTCAATTCTATTCCACTGGTCTATGTGTCTGTCATTGTACCAATATGAGGCTGTTTTGACTACTGTGGTTGTATAGTAGGTTTTAAGATCTGGCAGTGTGAGACCTCCTACTTTGTTGTTCTTTTTCAGTAGTGCTTTGCTTACCTGAGGTCTCTTTCCTCTCCATATAAAATTAGTGATTGGTTTTCCCACATCCTTAAAGAATGTTGATGGGCAATCTCAATTGGCATAACATACTATACAAAACATTGTTCCACCTCCTACTTTGGCGAGTTGCGACTGGGATCTTAAAAGCTAGCAAGCTGCCATCTA